TGTTTTACAACGTCGTTGCCAAGCGACGAAAACCCAACCCCGATGGCAAGCACCGGGGGGGGGCGGCTTGTTTTTCAACGTCGTTGCCAAGCGACGAAAACCCAACCCCGATGGCAAACACCAGGGGGGGGGCGATGTTGATGGGAAGTGTCAAAATGTATAGGGGTCGGACAGCATTCAAGCCTAGAATTCGTTGAGCGCATATCAAACACCATGATGGCCGCTTCATTTCCGCCTGTCACGTCTCAGCGTCATTACCTGATCCGTTTTCGATGCCAGCCCCTGGTGTTGATGAGCTAGAGCCGCCCTGCATGCTGAGCATCCTCTCGATGGTGGCCAGTCTGCGCTCGATGGATTCACTATCCGCCGGTACGTGCCGTTCATGGCGGAGCTGCTGCTGGCGGATTGATTGGAAAACACCAAGGAAAGCGAGAGGTATGGTAGAGTTCAAGGTGTCATTCGGGGGCCTGTCGCGACTCGGCGCCAAGAAAGAGCAACAAAAAGATGAAGCAAATCGATCGGTGTTGCGTCGCGCGTCGAGGTCTGCAGTTCTCCGTCGTTTTGATCCTCCGCGCAATACTAAGGTTTCACACGCGTTATGGCAGAGACGACCACTATCCTCAACCCGCACATGGACTAGCCTTCACAGGTTCGGAGTGCAAACCACACACCGCAAAGATGTCTCATGTCGCTTCTCCGGTGCTCAAACGACTCAGCAACACGGACATGCGAAAAAACAAATGACAGCAGTGCTGCCTAGAACAACCGAGTTGGTGATCAACTTACCTCTCCGGCACCGCCCTTGCCGCCCGCGTTTCCGGGCTGGTTTCCAGCACTCAGCATACCCAGCACCTCGTCCCGAACCTCCTTTTTTGGTATCAAGAAGCCGCGGCTACTGACACCCGTGCGCTCCTGGATCTCTTCCCGTATGGACGCGTCCTCCAGCATTTGCTTCTCTACACCGTGAAGGTAGTAGGCTAGCACCAAGGACGGGGTCGACACAAACGCCAAGTTCCACGCGTGCCAATCCCACGTGAACTTTCTCTTTTCCCTGCGACAAGATCAGATGAGAGCGGCAGGAGGAACGAACCGCGGCGAATCGGCACATCATGATTGCTCTCTCAGACATACCACCTCCTTTTGAGCTAACATCGATTGCTTACCTCGCCGTGCGTTCTTATGGTTTGATACCACCCCAAGAGGGCGACAGATGTTCATGTGCAATGACAACGCCGCAATGCATAGCTCGGCGATGATTTCTTGAAGGTTGAGAAAACGTTCCTCTTGCGTGGGTATGGTGTTGTTGCAGTGTACTTCATCCACGACTCGACAGCAGCAGCAGCAAGCAGAGTACAGCGTGAACAGTAGTACAACTGCCACTACTGCTGTGATGGATTTATTGCATGTATGAAAATGATGGTTCTGTTCAGTCAACTACCTACTGTACTTCCATGGTGTACTTCGATCACATCTATGGGGCGTGCTGGACGCGATATCTATCACGTGCACTTCTTGGTATAGACTAACTCAGGGGGGGGGGGCTATCTACCGGGAAAAGCGATTCTTCGTGCTGCGGGCGCGGAGCACAGTAGTTCAGGAGGTGCTCTGACCTGCTGAACCTCTTGTTTTTCAGAAATGACTGAGCGCTTGAGTCTACTGCTCCGGTAAACCTCTTCCAGATCGCCATGCTGTCTGCCGGTGTCGTGACTCGATGTACCGGTGTTGTGTTGCCTGTGGTGGCCTCGCCACGGAGCCCCTACCCCTACCCACCAGCCACACGTTATCCCATCAGTAACGCCCCCTGTACTGGAGCGCTCGAGAGTACACCGCTGGCACAGAGTTAGCAACCCCAACCTAGGGCGGACAGTTGAGGGTCGAGGCTCACACGCCTGTAGCAATGGACGGAGATACGATGCAGAAAACTTTTGATGACATCCTCAAGGACGGAGGCCCTGCGAGGGACTTCGAAATCACTCCTGAGGTAAGAGTAAGGGTTTGATCGCCTACCATCGAAAGAGCCGGATTAGGAGCAGGGAGGGGGAGATCTACCGGTTACATACCTTACACAGCAGCAGTGCGTTGTATCCGACGTCGGACGTTACATGTCCTGCTATGCACAAGCTGGTTGTTGGTTCATCTTTGCTGTTCGCGGCGTTGTCCGGGTATCTTTTGGTCACCCCACACTTGCAATCCTCAATCCTAACAACACGTCGGGTTTGCTCCCAGCAGGAATCCGTTTCACAAAACATGTCTCCTCTTTTGTGTGTATCCAAACTGCTGTACTTTTGTGTACACATCGTGTAGTATACAGCTTTAGGGGGTAGCCAGAAATCTATGTTGAGAGCGTGGATTGATGTTGAATAGGTGCACGCGCATACAAAGGAGGTCGTCCCCGCTGCTTTTCGGCCGATCGAATGTATATGTAGTGCGCCGCTTGTTTCGGGGAAGCTGGAATCCACTCGGCCACCGACACTCTCTAACCGGTCGCCCCGGTGGTCTAGTAGGTAGCCTCGCAGCCTGCTAAGGGCCAGGTCATGGGTTCGAGTCCCGGCAGAGAGAGTTTTTCTCTCACTGAATAAATCCTGGTCTAGGATGAAAGCGACGCGCTGCAAAGCTCGTTTGTTAGTAAACCATAATCGACTTCGTACGTCGCGAGGGAAGGGATTGCTGTAGAATACCCTTCTCGCGATAAAAATACCTCAGACATGAACCGCAGGAGGGGATCCAACCCCCCCCTCCTATGTGACCCCGGTTGGGTCGTCTAGCCAGTAGAAGTGGAGGATAGGGGCCAGAGGGGCAGACGGCAGAGTCCAATGATGGGAGAGAAACAAACAAACAAAAAAACAAACTCTCTATCCTTCAGTCCATGGGGTTGAACGCACCGATCGAGAGGTTGAATCTTGAACCTCTCGGGCAGAGAGGTGGTGGCGCTCAGTGCGTTCCGTACTATAAACCTCTCGCCCGTGATGCAACAACAAGCCGGAGTGACCACTTCGAACACATTAAGCTCGTGTGACCATCAAAAGGCACGCAGAGGACAACGCCCCTCTCCATGTGATGTACCCCCGGTCGCCCCGGTGGTCTAGTGGTATGCTCGTATTCCGCTATTATAGTCGCAGAGGTCGTGAGTTCGAATCCCCATGGGGTGAAAAACTTACGAAATTTGCGGGTGAAAGCGAAATATAGCTGCGAAGCTCTCGTGAGTACCAAACTTCGACGTTAGCACCGTTGACGAGGGAAAGGGACGGCTGGACCCTTCTCGCGATACAAATGAAATTCAGCACCCACCGCAGGAGGAAGGAGGGGCATGAAAAGAAATAAAAAGAAGAAAAAAAGCCCTGGTGTTTACCCCCTCCTGTGTGACCCTGGATGGTTGTAGTTGTACGTAAAAATACACGGAAACGTGTAGTACTCTACATACGCTGAAAAGTGTAGTACACGTCTCACCACGAAAAATGGGGGGGGGACTGTCGCCATAATAAATAGGACGAAAACACACACACACACATGTGATGTTGTAACAGCTTGCCGTTTTCCTTGGAGTTAGACACGCACACACACATGCCAAGAGTGTCCGGTTCTCTACCTAAAACACGGGCGCCCGACCCTAATCTAACGCCATCCTTCAAACCTTAGCCCCAACCGCAGCCAGAGGTAAAACGCAACAGCAAGTTGCTTGACGGTAAGACACGCACACCAGCATGCCTACAAGGGTTTCCGGGTCTCTACGTAAACCACGGGCGCCCGACCCTATCCTAGCGCCAACTCTCAAGCCCTGGCCCAAACCCCGAGCAGAGGTGGGTGCTTGGTTGGTATGCCTTGGGCAGGTCCCAAGTCGCTGTTGCCACAATGAAGATGCTTGCAGTCACCGGAGGTGTTCGGCGCCTGCCTGTCCAGGCGTATTCACGGGCGACGGCATTGCATCAGCGACCCCGATCCATCCCCAGGTTTTGACGTACAGGGGGGCATGTGAGATTTTGCATTTTTTTTTCCGTCACCCCCCGCCCTCCCTCCCTCGCTTTCCCGCAGAGCGCTTCCATTGAAACGATATGTGTAGAATAGCAACGGGCGCATCAGGAAGCATATACCGTTGCGAAGACGTCGTTGGTCTCTTTTCGAACAGCAGATCCTTTCGTTGTGGCACACGTTCCGGTGGTCATGCTTGCCGCGTGTGCTTTTTCCCCTGCTCGTATTGTCTATGCTTCCGTTGCCGTCGAGCGACAGGAAGCCAACAAGTTCAAGGCGGCGCTGGGGGAGCCGGAGTTCCAAGCCATGCTGAGGGACTACATGGAAGAGATGCAGGACCCCAAGCAAAGAGCGGTGAGCGGAGAGCGGAAAGAGAGACAAGGTGGTCACCGCTGTCGCCCGATGACTTCGCATAGGTTGCTTGTTTTCCCGAGAGTTTATTTCAGAGTCTGTCTCAATCTCGCCCACTTGGGCTCAACAGGTCTATTTTGTAGGACCTGCAGCGGTAGGGATTTGGGGGATCCGGACGCCTTCAAGCGCAGGACACGCGACATACTGCGGACACTCTAGGGTTGCGCGGAGAAAGATGGGGCACAAGTAGCCCTGTTCTGTCGTCCTTCCTCTGGCTAGAAAAGGTCCCGCACAGACTTACAGAAACGGAGAATCTGGTTGGGCCCTCAGCGGCAGTGCCAGTAGATTTTGCTGGCACATACGCCGGCACATCAGCGCCCCCCTCTGCCGCGGCCGTACTATTCCTCACGCTTCATGGCTTCCACGCGCGCTTGTACTCACTCGCGATTGAGAACAGGTTTTGTTTGGATTCCTTTTCTGCCCGCACCAAGTTGGATCACCATACTCCCGGACAGTTTGCCCCCACTAGCTGCAAGTGTCCCCCGCGGCTTTGTGATGCTGCAATCGAAGAGACTGCAGGCGTGTTTGCTGCAACGACACTCCGTAACATCCCGTTTTTTTGTGTCGTTTTCTCCCCGCCGGCCGGCAGGAACAAGAGCTGTACATTTCCGAGCTCGAGAGTCAGAACCGGGTGCCCGAGGGCAAGGAGGTGGTGCACCCCCTGCCGGGCTTCGTGATCAAGACCAGGTTCACGCGGGGATCCAAGGACGCCGAACCCGAAAAGGTGGATGAAGTCGTGTGTTGACGACAGTTAATTTATGAGGTGTGTTTGACGGCAGTTATTATATGTTGTGTACGGTGATCATAAGTTGCATGGGTTGTAGACGGTGTACGGCGAGAATGGTCTTGAACGACGACGACAACGGCACAAGGACAATTTGTGGGCAACTCGCTGAGTAGGCAGGAACAAAGAGACTGATGTTCCGGTTACAAGACGAGAGGCGGTAAGGAAAAAACCCTATGAAAGTTGTGTTGGTGTGCGGCAGGTGCAACTACTGAACCTTTTGTGCTTGTCTGCTTTTCTTGAAACTGCCGACTTCCTCAGGTGAACCGGTCTCTCGACGTTCTTTTCAATCCGGGCATTTTCGCCTGCTTTTAGCAATTAGTCTCCTCAAGCCGTGCCGTAACAATTGCCTTTTTCTTTGGTCGCGCTTGACTTGGTTCGTTTTTTGTCCTTGTCTTGTCTCCCTGCAGTTGTTCACGAACGTCGTCACGTCCGACAAGTTAGCGAAACCGTACAGCAAGATATCCAACTCCCGCCCGGGGGGGGAGGCGTGGTCGTTGCCGGTTGCAGTGGGCCCCTTGCGCAAGGAGAAGGATAAGGGTGAGAGGTCGAAGGGGGGCGGAGAGGTTTTATGGGTAGCGCCCGAGCAGGTAGTGTACCCGAGCAAGCTGCGATACATGCAACCGTTGTTTGCGACCGCCAGGGTACTGGTGTTAACCGGTACGTGATGGCTGCTGGCTTTGGCTGTAACTAACCGTACCTTTGCCAAGCACAGACGGGCCTCGTTCGCATTTTCGTGCACCAGCAGTGAGAGTGTTCTCAACCGTTTGCCTCCCCCCCCTGGCCCCACTGCCCACTCCCATTCATGTTTCCGGTCATTGCACCCCTCGTCGTCTCTCCCCTTTGTCTTATCTGCCGCGGGTTTTGATGGCTTGTTTTTATCGGTCCCCGGTTGGGTTTTCGTCGCTTGGCAACGACGTTGTAAAACAAACCAATTCACTTCGTGAGCTCGGCAACCAGGTTACCGGGGTTTTATTTACCTCTTTTTTGGCTGTAACCATAATGATGGCCTCCGATGTTTACCATCGGGGTTGGGTTTTCGTCGCTTGGCAATGACGTTGTAAAACAAGCCGCCCCCCCCGGTGTTTGCCATCGGGATTGGGTTTTCGTCGCTTGGCAACGACGTTGTAAAACAAGCCAATTCACTTCGTGTACTCGGCAACCAGGTTACC